CAGGCCCTACGCCAATTCTCCGCTGCAATTGAGAAACCCAGATCTCACTCCCATTGAGAGACATAAGATAGGGGTGGTGAGGAGGACCTACTGTTAAGAGAGGCATAAATTACAGAAATGAGACCAGGGGACCCTGGAATGCTGACGGACGTGTTCAAAGGGCGTTTTGCGGTACGACGGAGGGATAGGACCCAGTGGCGCAATTGCAAATACCGATAATAAATTCCCGTGGCGGGATCTCCCTTGATTCTCGAAGAGACTCCCATGATGGAAACATATGAGCGCTCAGAAAACCATGTACCATAACAAAGCCATGGGAGGTCCACCAAGAGAAGGAAGGGGGATGTTCTAGGCCTGGTAGAAATAAAGGATTATGCGTAATCAGCAAAAGAGGTAGAAACGATGATATCAAATCACCCGAATATTTAACAGAATCCCACGTTCGTAAACTGTGAAGCATGATAGGGTTCAAATCCCGGTGGGCGCAACTTAGGCGGGAGCCAAAGCAATGTAGTTAAGGAAAGTGGAGCACAGTTGGGTAATTCCAAGAGTACCCACAATGGAAACATCAGTCGTGGCATGAAGCATAGAGACATTGGACATTTTCAGGCGTACTTTAAAAATGTTTGTAGAATCTACTTAAAATAGTGGCGGACAGAAGGATTGTTTAAAATTGCAACATCTGTATTTTCTGTGCTCTATTTAAAGGTTATGTTTATATTTTTTGATTTTTGACCTCAAAACCACTATCAAGCAAAAAAAAAGGCTAACTGATTGTGTTTCCTAAGGTCAGATGCCTTTGATTATTTAGTTATATTTAACGTCTGCAGGGCCACTCACCTTACACTGACCATTGTGTGCACTTCAGTATAACTTGCATTGTTGTCATTATAAAAGCAATGTATCAGTATGCATAATAATACCTTGCCTTCCTTGGGTACAAATGCCTGTGGGTATTATTCTTTAGCTCCACGGGGACCCATGTGTCAATGATGAAATGATTACATTGTGTTCCCCCAGTGATCTGTTGCTGCAGTAAACAATTAGTTTGCAAAAACAAATTACAGCATGAGAACCTGGCAACTGCTCCTCTCCGCTCTCCTTTTTAATGATGTATTGCTAAAAGGTTAAACTGTTAAAGGAGCCCTGTACTGGGAGAAACATGCAGGCAGTGCATTTGGAGCCACCGATTCAGAAGACGCATGTAGATTAACCTCCCTGGCGGTCTGATTCTTTCCGATTTTTTGTGCTGAAAGCGGTACATTTTTTTGCATGGAAATATGTAGTTTTTTTATTGTAGGCTGTAATTTTTAGGAATAACTCACTGAAATCTGTCCCAAACAAGAGTCTAGTAAACATCCCGGATATGATAAAACTTGAAACACGAAATCATAAATTATAATTTAATAAATAATCATAAAAAATAATATATATAATAATAATAAATGTAATTCAATAATATAATCAAACCAAAAACACTGAAATTTGAAATACAGAGGCAAAGTTCGCACATCGCTGAGCAAAGTCGCAGAATCATTTTCAGTGTCTGATGACAAATTTCCCCACGAATCATTATCACTCAATTCTGCAAGTGGTTCTGATTTACTATCGCTGTTCTCTAGCCGGTCTAAAAACCGATTTTGATGTAAAGGGACGCTTTTTGGACGCCATGGACGTTTCTCAGTTTCCAGGCAGAAAGAACAGACAAAATGCAGACAGGGCGCCGGACAAAGCACTCGGGACAACATGTATGTGAAATGCATTGAAACAGCAATGTTTTACTATGTAATAATCATTTTAAAAAAAATTACATTTTTTACAATTTTCAAATTTCCCGCCGGTTCCAGCGCCCGTACGTCCCGACGTCAGAGGAACCGGAACACGGAAGCCGGATTCCGGCATCGGCTGGAGGAGATGGCCGGGGGCGCTGCAGGGGACACATCGCGGGAGCGAAGGACAAGGTAAGTGCTGCAGGGACTCCCTGAGCAACGCTGCATGGTAAGCCCGAGTGTAGCTCGGGGGGGGTTACCGCTCTTGGTAATCAAATTTTACCCCGAGCTACACTCGGGAATACCGCCAGGGGGGTTAAGACCTTGTTGCAGCCACTTTTAGGGGCGTCAGGTGTTTTTTTTTGTTTTTGTTTGTTTTTTTTTTTTGTTTTTTTTTACTGCTTCCAAACAGCCCTCCATGTTATCCTATGTGTCTGCGCACACACAGACTTTTCGAAGATTTTAGTAGTAGTAGTGTTTACCAGCAGGAAAAAAACCCAGGGCCAGTGCGTCCGAGAGCATTATTATTTTGGCAGAAAAAATGCTTGACGCGTCTAAACGCACCTAAACACTTGTTAACGCTAGGCACGTTTAGCGCTTGAGCGTTAATTCATTTCAATGGCCAGAATAAATTATTATTTTGGCCAATAAAATGAATTAACACCCAATCTCTTGACAGTTGTAAACGCACCTAAACGCTTGTTAAAGCATTAGACACTTTGACAAGCATCGAGTGAAATCTGACTCCGAACTACATACTTGTTTCAGGCCAAATCCAAAATGGGCTCAGCATGACCACCAAATAACCAGCATTTTCAAAAGAGTTCAGTCATTACTTTGACCATATACTGTATGTATCCTTGGGTACTCCAACAGCCGGATTTCTTGACCCTGCTTCTGTCCACCGTGATTTATTTCTACTCACCAATGCATTTCCCAGCAAACCATGTTACATTTTCCATATTGTTAAAAAAAAAAATCAAGCTTTGTGAGTGGGGAAAATTACATGTTGTCATTCATATGGGTAACGTTAGGTGTGAAGACCCAGGAACATTACAACAAAGATTATCAACAATATTAAAATGTCATATGAACAAGTTGTAAACCTGAAACATGAAAAATTAACAAAGTACATCTCACTATAGTGTGTACTAGCCTCAAAGTACTGAGTCTGGTTCCTCTCTGATCGCTTCTCTCTTGGCAATCTGCAGGACTTGCTCCTATAGGATTAATTCAACACCTCATCCTTCTGGAAAATGGTTTGCCCTCCTCAAACAAACAGACTTATACCCTCAGCTTTATGTTTCTCTGAGCTTGTGAAGAGGGGGGTATGTCACTTTCCTCCAATTAGCTTTAAGAGCACATTGATCTCTGTGCTCTAACTGTGCAGTGTGTGTGTGCTTTCTGCTGCTGTGAAAAAAACCTTTCATCTGTGTGTTCTAGAAGGTTGTAAAGAAGAGACGGCAGTAGATAATTATGTACAACTTATGTAGGAGGATCTGTTTAATTTGTATCAAAAATGTGTAAAACAAGTGTGTGTGTGTATACATATAAATATATATATATATATATATATATATTTTTTTTTTTTTTTAAGTAAAAATGGACTTGTTTACGAAACACAGGCTTTAGCTAACACATATATCTAGCAGAAAGCAAACAGCAATAGCTGCTCTATAACCTATAAATTGATCCTAAGTCCTCATGTACACGGGACGTTTTTACAGCGGCTGTTTTTGGCTTTTGGCGTTTTTTTTTCTACAGCCAGTAAACTCCCCAGCATGTTATCCTATGTGTCCATGCACACATAGACTGTAATCAGTGTTTTTTGGAAGGAAATAAACACCAGAACTAGTGGGTTTCTAGAGGTTTTTTAGCTGTAAAAATGCGGTAAACCGCAGCAAACCGGTGTTTTTGGAAGTTTTTTGAGCAAAAAAAATGTTATTTGGTAAAAAAAAAACGTAAAAAAAGCAGCAAAATTGTTGAAAAAACTCACTTTGTTAATGTGACTTTACACAGCTAATATTACCAGCTCTATTAAAATGCCCCATGTGCTTGGAGCCTAAGGCTTGGTTCACATATATGGATTTTGCATTTGATGCTTTCTCCAGTGCTGTTTTCAGTTTGTTTTGTGTTTTTCTACATTACTTTTTTGATGCGTTTTTGATCGTTTTTACCGCGTTTTGTTCAGCTTTTTTTTTTTTGTTAAAATGGAATTTTTTTGTTGCTGGGCAGAATAAAAACGCGAAAAAAATGCACTACCATGCATTTCAGCAGCTTCTCCATTGAACTCTATTGTAGCAAAAACGCTGCAAAAAGCACTAAAAGACGCATTGGTGTAAACGGAGCCTAAATGTCCCACAACAATTGTTTTTTTTTTTTTGTCATAAAATGTTTGATGTCACATTTTTTGGTTTTTATTCCGATCTCAATTATGCTTCTGTAGTCTTTCTCAGTCACCACTTGTCTGCATGCACACTCCAGTGTTGGCTGCACATCATTGCTCAGGAGTGGCATCCTGACAGTGACAATGTTGGACCATTCATGGTCAATGTGTGCCAGCAGTGCAGCCCATAGTCTCCAGCAGGGAAACATATGGCGGAGTGATAACACTCTCACGGCTTCAACTACCACCTCTATGCCGATGACACACAAATCTATCTCTCAACCCCCCACCTCACCCCCTCGGTCTCCGCCCGAATCACCCACCTACTGAGCGACATATCAGACTGGATGTCGCTCCACTTCCTTAAACTGAACCTCTCCAAAACGAGTTTCTTGTCTCCCCCCAGCCCGGACCCCCCCCCCCATTGACTTTTCCGTCACATCCAACAAACGCCACCATCAAACCCGCCCCGCAGGCCAGAGTACTTGGTGTCATTCTGGACTCCAACCTATCCTTCCAGCCCCAAGTCCAATCTTTAACAAACTCGTGCAGACTCCACCTCCGCAACATGCAGACTCCGCCTCCGCAACATGCAGACTCCACCTCCGCAACATGCAGACTCCACCTCCGCAACATCGCCAAAATCCGCACGTTCCTAACCCCAGAAACCACTAAACAGCTCATCCACTCCCTCATCATATCACGACTCGACTACTGCAACTCCCTCCTCACTGGCCTGCCTCGCCGCTGGCTATCCCCGCTTCAGTCCATCCTGAATACGGCTGCCAGACTCATTCACCTTTCCAACCGCTCCATCTCCACCACCCCCCTCTGCCAATCCCCCTCCACTGGCCTCCACTCAGTGTCCTCCACCCCCTCTGCCAATCCCTCCACTGGCCTCCACTCAGTGTCCGCCCACACCCTCTGCCAATCCCTCCACTGGTCTCCACTCAGTGTCCTCCACCCCCCTCTGCCAATCCCTCCACTGGCCTCCACTCAGTGTCCTCCACCCCCTCTGCCAATCCCTCCACTGACCTCCATTCAGTGTCCTCCACCCCTCTCTGCCAATCCCTCCACTGGCTTCCACTCAGTGTCCTCCACCCCCCTCTGCCAATCCCTCCACTGACCTCCATTCAGTGTCCTCCCCCCTCTCTGCCAATCCCTCCACTGGCTTCCACTCAGTGTCCTCCACCCCACTCTGCCAATCCCTCCACTGGCCTCCACTCAGTGTCCTCCACCCCCCTCTGCCAATCCCTCCACTGGCCTCACTCAGTGTCCTCCATCCCTCTCTGCCAATCCCTCCACTGGCCTCAGTGTCCAATCCCTCCACTGGCTTCCACTCAGTGTCCTCCACCCCCCTCTGCCAATCCCTCCACTGGCTTCCACTCAGTGTCCTCCACCCCCCTCTGCCAATCCTCCACTGGCCTCCACTCAGTGTCCTCCACCCCCCCTCTGCCAATCCCTCCACTGGCCTCCACTCAGTGTCCTCCATCCCTCTCTGCCAATCCCTCCACTGGCTTCCACTCAGTGTCCTCCACCCCCCTCTGCCAATCCCTCCACTGGCTTCCGATTGCACAACGGATCAAATTCAAAATCCTAACACTGATGTACAAAGCCATCCACCATACTGCCCCGAACTACATCACTGACCTAATATCCAAGTACCGCCCAGCACACACACTCCGCTCCTCACAAGACCTCCTTCTCTCTAGTTCCCTGGTCTCCTCCTCCCATGCCCGCCTCCAGGACTTCTCCAGGGTGTCACCCATCCTCTGGAACTCCCTGCCCCAACCCATCAGATTATCACCTACTCTCCTCTCGTTTAGGTGCACCCTGAAAACCCACCTCTTCAGGGAAGCCTACCCCACCCCCTGCTAACTTGCCGACCTCCTCCACTCTTCCTACCACTCCATCCCCCACAGCTATCTCCTCCTGTGCCACCATCCCCTCCCTCCTAGATTGTAAGCTGGAAAGAGCAGGGCCCTCGATCCCCTCATGTATCACATTGTATTGGTATTGTTCTGTCACATGTTCTGTCCCCCTTTGTAATGTACAGCGCTGAGCGAACTATTGGCGCTTTATAAATACTGTATAAATAATATTAATAACATGGGCCTGAATAGCAGGATCACTAGGTAGCTCCGGCCTGTGGCCCATCTCTTTGCATAGTCATGTACGATGTAGGGCTATTACCCTGCATTGTATGTGGAGAGGGCTAACGTGAGGATGGCCATGAGTGGAGGCTGCAATGACCCAGTTGCACAGATGGAGCAAGGAATAAAGCTGTCCATAGACGGATCAAAATTTGACCTGTTCTGCAGCGTCCGGCCATATTTTGATACATCTATGACCATTTTAATGATCAGCTTCTTATGCACAGAGGTGTGCTGATGAGTGCATTCTGATAGCGGAGGAGTCCTGTTGTCAGAATACAATAACAGCAGGTAGGATTCGGCCATCCACTACACTTGTGTGGATGGCGGAATCTGTTCAGTATTTCTTTGATTAGCCCCCTGATGATTGTAATTTCTCTCTATTCTGATATCCAGAGGAATAACAAGCACTTAACCCTTGTAGGGGGAGGGAGGGCACTGCAAGGGTATTTTTTGTTCCGGTCTGCAGTTCTGCTCTAAAATATAACTAAAGGCAAACATTTTTTTGGGGGATAGAAGGTTTAGAACACCAGTCAGGTATTAACTGCTGTCTTATGTCCCTGTTGGGATAATCACCCTTTACATTTGTCCTGGTGATCAATATAACCGAAAGTGAAAGACAGTCCCACATTTTGAATTGTCACCAGAACAGGAATCTTCCAATGGTGACCCTGTTGACAGTCAGGGATTTGCCTCTTTTTTTTTTTTTTTTGTTAAGCAATGAGACAGGAAGTGAAGAGAAGTCTTCTCAATGGGACACCAATGGCAAATAAACTGACCAGGATTCCCTTACTCTATCCCAGTGGTTTCCAAACTGAGTCCCAGAGTTAAGAGGTGGCCCTTTGTTTGCCTTTATCTTGCTCTTGGGGCACTATTCCAGCAACTGTCACCAGCATTCCCCCTACTGACACCATCAATCGGTTTCTATTCTTCTCACTTTTTGAAGGGATTTTCTTTCACTTCCTCTTTTGGCAATGGGACAGGAAATTAAGAGAAATCATCTCAATGGGACACCAATGGCAAACTGACCAGGATTCCCTTACTCTATCCCAGTGGTTTCCAAACTGAGTCCCAGGGGTAAGATGTGGCCCTAGGTTTGCCTTTATCTGGCCCTTGGGGCACTATTCCAGCAACTGTCACTAGCATTCCCCCTACTGACACCATCAATCGGTTACTATTCTCACTTTTTGAAGGGATTTTCTTTCACTTCCTCTTTTGGCAATGGGACAGGAAATGAAGAGAAATCATCTCAATGGGACACCAATGGCAAACTGACCAGGATTCCCTTACTCTATCCCAGTGGTTTCCAAACTGAGTCCCAGGGGTAAGATGTGGCCCTTTGTTTGCCTTTATCTGGCCCTTGGGGCACTATTCCAACTGTCACCAATGATAGAGCAGCATTCCCCCTACTGACACCATCAATGGGGTACTATTCTTCTCACTGTTATCAAGAATGGGTCACTTTTCCTCCTATTACAACCAATGATGGGGCACTGATGCCATGGCATTTTCTACTCCCACTGACTCGAGTCTCTGACATCCCCCCTAAAACCTGAAGGACAGTAAACTGGCCCTTTGCTCAGAAAGTCTCGAGACTCCTGCTCTATCCAATCCAATCCAAAAAAAAGAAAGTTTTGCCTTTAGTTCTACTTTAATACATTGTACAGATGTTGTTTACAGAATAAAAAAAAAGTTTTTTTTCTGTTAAGCCACTATTGTTTAAAAGGAAAAAGGGAAGAGGACGTATGTGATGACCCGGTAGACTTCTGAATTGTGACTCCGTTTAGGTGGAACACTTTGCTTTATCAGTAACTTCTTGAATTGTAAAAGTATATCTATAAAGTTGAATGGACCTTAGTAACCCACAAATATTATTTTTCTGAAAAGAAGCATTATTTTTAATTCTGCAGACTACACAATGCGGAGTTGTTGTGCTTGCCCATTATCTCTGTTCCTCTTCAGTCTCCTGATGTCTGCTTCACTTGTCCATGCAGTTTTAAAAGGGTTCAGCATTAACTGTGTACAAAGGTTACTACAGGGCATTCTGTTATATTCTGAACCAAAGCCGAGAAGGAAACCGTGACAAAACACTTCCCATTGCTGCTCTCCATGGAAGCTTTGAACATTTAGCATATTTATTTCGACTTGTATTCATGGCAGAAAGTATGTAAAGTCATAATCCAAACTAGGTAACCTACACTTTAATTTATGAATTACTTGTATTTATATATTTATAAAATTCACTATTATCATGTCCATTCCTCCTCGATGCTTATTCTAATGCCAATCTACTCAGGGACCTCTTAAAGGGGCCAGTGCTAAGAGAAAAAACAGGCTGCCATAGCTGACGCTTCCTTTTGCAAATGACAGTTGCCTGGCTATCACACTGTTTTAATACTTTTTGGGGGATTCAGCACAATTATTTGGATCAGACGTTCTTACTCTCTTCTCACTTCCTTTGTTGAAAACATATGTCTGACTGCGAAGGTTGTGAAACCAGAGACTTCCAGACACGTAGCATTGTGCTAAGGTCAAGCGTGCAGCTTACATATTTCTATCAGAACAGGTTTTCATGAACCTACCCATGAGCATGTGGAATCTATTGTAGCTATCTGTACACACATTGCCCACAATACCTATTTGTTGCACTAGGTATGAGCAAATTTTGAATATATTTTTTGTTGATAATTTTACTGTTGATATTGACCAGACCTACTGAATGACTCTTTACATTTTGGCTTTTGTTAAGTTGTTTAAGGTATAGCTCACGGTTGGATTTGCTGTTTTTTTTTTTTTTTTTTTTTTGTAAATCTTAAGTAATCTCAATAAAAATATATTCAACCTTAAAATATTATTGTAGCTAAAGTTTTTTTGGATAAAAGGGGAAGGTTTAGTACCTCTGTCAGGTGTCTGATTAAATCTTCCAATCAAGAGAGCTTTGTAGTCACCAACAGTGATAACCGATGTGTAGACTCAAGACCCATTCATTTCTTACGGCTTGTTTACATTAGCTTCAACATTTGGCATTGGACACGCATTTTTAAATAAAATAGCTTACAGTCCTGTTCACAGGTTTACTTCGCTTTAACAATTATACCCCATGTCGCTTTCACAATGCTTCAAAGCATCCATAGAAGTCTATGACAAAGCTCGCTTACAGCACATGCAACTTTTGTGATGCTTTTATTCAACTTTAGTTTCGCTTTGTTTTGGAGGTATGAGATATTGCAGGATGCACTGGGAGACCAACAAGTGAACCAAAAAGACATCATCAGCAGTCACTTTTGGCTCATGTGTATATATTGTGGGAGTGTCTGGTGCAGACGTCACATCTGGTGTGTAGCGTGGAGCAGAAGGAAGGCCAGCAGGGTCCGGACTAGAGAGGAGCATCTAGCACAGTGGTTCTCAACCTTCCTAATGCCGTGACCCTTTAATACAGTTCCTCATGTTGTGGTGACCCCCAACCATAAAATGATTTACCCTGTAATTAAAATTCATGAGTGTCGTTTTACCTCCAATGCTGCTGCTTTCTACACAGCAGCTGCTTTTTACACATCGGAAATGTGTTTTCTGATGGTCTTAGGGGACCCCTGTGAAAGGGTCGTTCGACCCCCAAAGGGGTCGCGACCCACAGGTTGAGAACCACTGATCTAGCAGATGGCAAACATGGTGTGCAACATGGGAACGCTATAGGGGAAGCAAATTGGGGACCAGAGAGAGTGGACTAACTGGCAGAGGATCAGCAGAGCTGGGGGACTGGAGAAAGAAAAACTATCAATGTCCTGTGGTGTGCAGCATGGGAGCAATATAGTTGAAGGGAGGGGGCCTGGAGAGAGAGGATGATTAGCAAACCAGAGGATCAGCAGAGCTGCTGGTTACTACTGAGTGAGGGATCAGCAGAGCTGCTGGTTACTACTGAGTGAGGGATCAGCAGAGCAGGAGGTTATTACTGAGTGAGGGATCAGCAGAGCAGGAGGTTACTACTAAGTGAGGGATCAGCAGAGCAGGAGGTTACTACTGAGTGAGGGATCAGCAGAGCAGAAGGTTACTACTGAGTGAGGGATCAGCAGAGCAGGAGGTTACTACTAAGTGAGGGATC